TACCACTTCATTTTGTTGAGGAGTGTTCGCCTCTGTGAACTGTCTTTTGATGCCTTTCTTCCTGCAAAAGTCATCAAATTCTTCACTTGTGTATTCTCCTCCATTATCTGTTCTGAAACACTTGATCTTATTTTCAGAATCAAGTTCCACCTGCACTTTGAAATTTTTGAAAGTTGAAAATACATCTGACTTCTTCTTAATAGGGTATACCCAACATATTCTAGAATAGTCATCAATAAATGAGACAAAATATTTTTCTCCACCTAGGGATATAACTGGTGCTTGCCATATGTCAGAATGAACCAATTCTAGAACACATTTGCCTCTAGAATTTGACGTGTTGAATTTCAACCAGTGATGCTTACTTGTTATGCAATGCTCACACAAAGTAAGTGATACCTTTATTAAGCCTGGAAGTTGCTTTTGCTCCACAAGGACTTTCATTCATTGTTCTGACATGTGTCCAAGTTTTTGATGTTATAACATTGCAGAATCTGAACTACATGAGGCAACAGAGACTTCTATTTCTAGCAAAGTCTCTCCCTTCAGCATGTACAAGTTTGCTGCTATCTTTTCGCCTTTCATCACCACAAGCGCTCCACGGAACACCTTCATGATTCCTTTATGTGTTTCAATCTTGCTTGCATTATTATCCAACAATCCGTAGGATAATAAATTTTTCTTCAGGCCTTTCATGTGCCACACATCTCGAACAATTTTAATTGTTTCATCATACATCTTCAATTTGATGGTTCCCACGCCAAAGATCTCTAAGGCATGATCATTGCAACTATACACAGATCCTCCTGAGATAGGTTCATAATGATGGAACCATTCTCTTCTTGAGGTCATGTGATATGTTGCTTCCGAATCAATGAGTCATATATCTGCAAATCTCTTTCTACGTTCCACGGTCGTTGACGCTTCACAACATAGAGCATCTCCATCATCTGAAGTGTTTGTGGTATTGCCTTGTGGATTGGAGTTTTTACCTAGACTCTAACAATCCTTCTTCAAGTGACCCTTCTTTCCACAGTTGTAGCACTTTAAATTGTTCTTGCTTCTCGACTTTGATCTACCATGTTTGTGACTGCTGCTTTGGCCACGTTCTATTGATCTCCCTCTCATCGTTGTTAACGTTTCTGCTTGTTGCAGATTTACTTGTTTGTCTTCCTTGTTCTTGCGTCGATTTTCTTCTTGTAGAACAATAGCTGTAACGTCATCGAATACTAGACTGATGACATTACTGTTTGTCAAGTTGATGATGAGTTGATCATATGAATCAGGTAGACTTTGAAGTAAAAGTTCAACACGTTATTGTTCTCCTATTGTACATCTTAAGGATGTAAGCTGAGAAAATAAAGTGTTCAGTGTGTTTAAGTACTCCGTCACTGAAGTAGATTCTGACATCCGGAGAGTGTACAATTTCCTCTTAAGGAAATTTTTATTGTGCAACGATGTGGCCTCGTACAGTTTGGTGAGATGATCTCATATCTCCTTAGTTGTCTTCTTTTCCTCGATGCTTGACAATACTTCATCTGCTAATGCTAGATGAAAGTTTGCCATAGCATTCATGTCCATTTCGATCCATTTGTTGTCATCTGTAAATCTATCGACCTTTTACTGATAACTGCTTGACAACCGTCTTTCTTCAGGATGACCTTCATCTTCAATTTCCACAATGAGAAATTTCTCTCATTGAACTTTTCAATATCAAATTTAGTTGACATAGCTTCTATTACGGATAGCTCCCACTATTTCACTATCGTGAATAGTTCTCTGGAACCTTCAAAGAATGGGTAATAAATTCTTACTTTCTTATGTTGGAGGATCCACCTTTTGGTGGCAACCACAAAGACAATAAGCAGATATTACACACTCTAATCTGGCTTTTGATACCAATTGTTTCGGAATACGGCTATCGGATAGAGCAAAATCGTAACTAATAATTTGAGAAAATAAAGATGAAGATAAAGAAGACACAAATTTTACGTGGAAAACCCCTAAATAATATAGGGTAAAAAATCACGGGCAAAGGTATTAGAATTTCAGTAAGAGAAAATAAGAATTACAACTTCTCTCGATCTAACAAAGAGAAACAATGACAATTCTCTCTTGATAAAAATGAGAAAACAACTCTCAAGAAAACTCTCTAAATTCTCTAGTATTGGGAGAAAACTAGAATGATTTGGGATGGTTTTGAAACTAAATGGGTTAGGGTATTTATAGTTGAAGCTTAAGGACTAATCTTATAAATACCCTAAAGTACAAAGACTAAATTTAATAATTTTTCCTTATCAAATTTCAACAAAATCATGCCATTTTCTTCAACAAAAAAATTGGTGAAACTTTCGGCGGAATTCGGTGCATTTACACCAATTTTCAACAAAATTCATATGGAGTAAGGCATTTAGACACGGGATAGACATCGTGCGGGGGAGTCATTCGCAGTGACGCCGAAAAATGGGTGATAGGTTTTTCTAAAGCAATCGGCATTTGCTCAGTTTTTTATGCCGAGCTGTGGAGCATACTGGAGGGGCTCGAATTGTCCTGGGAACTGAAGATACCAGCAGTGGTTATTGAGTCAGATAGTAGATGCAGTGGAAGCCTTGACCTGCGAGGGAAGGAAGGGGTGGGAGTGCGACTCGTCATTTTTACCTCATATTTTTGTAAATGTTGAGGAAGGATTGACAGGTGAAAGTTCAGCAGGTCCCATGGATTTGTAACACTGTGGCTGATGGATTAGCGAAGACGGCGAAGGAACACTGGTTCGAGTCTCGGTATTTCCAACAACCGCCGCTTGAGATTGATGCAACTTATCTAAAGGAAAGTAGCTGATACAGTCGCCTAAGTGTAGATTGTGTTTTTCTCTTTATCATACAAAAAATAATATAATTATAACAATAAAAATATAATATTATATTATTAAAATTATCAATGAATATAATTTAATAATTAATATTTTTATTAAGATGATACTAAAATAATAAATATATAAAATAATAATATTTTGAGTGTTTATGTTTTGAAGTGTAAAATTCGTAAAATGACTTACGAAAAATCAGAACGTAAGTAATTTTTCAGAATATGCAAACGAAATTCAGTTAACCAAGAAAATGATCATATGTTTTCCGCCAGTCAAACATTGAAAAAAAAAAAAAACATTTTCTTGAAAAAACAATCATAAAAAACAAATAGACCTAAATGATCAAAACAACACTTTTTAAAATTTAATAACAAAATAATAAAAATAAAATAAAAGTGTTTATTTTAATAATTGAACACTACATAATATTTGATTCGTGCATATACACGAGGACAACAGCAGTAGCTGGACGGCGAACAGAAACCCTACGCAAGAGCCAATGGTGGATTGAGCAAACACAGTCAAACTTTATACAAATATAAAAGCATTTAAAGCTGATTAGTGAGTTCTGTCTATTTATCCTTCAAAAAAGAGAGCATTGGGTGTCATATCTTGAAGAGATCGGGTAGAAGAAGATGCAAATAAATGCAGCTTAGGGTACAAACATCCTGTTGGTGGTGGGGGCTGGTTGTATCCCCCCTTGGAGAAATTTACTTCAGTTTTACGTCTCTACAACATCAAATTATTTCAATTTTAAACCCATCACTCTAATTTAACTTAAGAAATTGTTATGTTTCATGAAGATTTGGCAGATGGTAACAAATTCTTGTATATAAAGAAATAGTTAAAATCTATTTTACTAAACTATATTAATAATATTCTCTTCATATCATGTACTGTGATGGGTCGAAAAAGAAACGAATGACGGAGATCGAGATCCTTAAAATTTTTAAATCCTTATATTTTAAACTTTTTTTGTCATACTAAAATTTTGTAAGTTAAAATAGAATATGTTTGTACTTTCAACATAATTAAAATGTTGTATGTAGCTCTTATCATATATGATTAGCCTTTAATTCTAACATGGTATCATGAATTAAGTTGTACGTTCATTAGGAGAGATAAATTAAGGTACAATGAATCATTTAGTAAAATAATTGATGATCTCCTCGAGTCTTTGAATTGAAGTCTATTTATTTATTTAAAATTTAATTTATAAAATAGATATTTAAAATATTTATTCTTATGAACAATTCAAAGTTTAATAATAAATTTACATATTTAAAATATTTAAATAAAATCAAAGAGAATCTGAGTATTAACTCATAATTTGTATGCATCATGAATCAATCCCTAACCCTAAATACAATATTCAAATATGTAAAAAGATAGATTGAATATTTGATTTTTTATTAAAAAGATAGATTGAATATATATATATATAAAATTTAGTGTAAGAAATGTATTGTTAAGAAAAATACACACACTCATGGTGCTGAAGTTTTTTTTTAAGGTATTAACTCAAATTGACCATTATTCTTGTAATCGTAAAAAAATTAAGTGACAGTTGTCAATGGGAGAACTTCCTTAGTGGATCGTTTTTTTATATAATTGTAAAGATTTGAGTTTCGTGTATTATCCAATTTTATATTTGAGATTTTGTTTAGCGAACAAGAATTAGGTGTTTCTCCAATAACTGATGAACCTCCCTCTATATATGTAACACCTGGACCTAATTTTAGGACCTTTTGATAGTGGTAGGTACTAGGTGCTGTAATAACATTGGACATAATTATATTACACGTTACAAATACGAACAAATATATATATGCAAGTAATTAGAAAAACAGATCACGTATTTATCATTATGATTGAAATAACCAAACAAACATTTGGGTACAAATGGAAGGTTCCAAGTATTGTAAGAACGTAACATACAAATTTACTAATACTACAGTGCACACTGATCATCTCCCACAAAAACAATTCCTTAACAGCATAGGTTTTTAATATCGGAAAATGAAGGAAAATAAAAGATTAGTATTTAGTGGCGTCGGACTAAAATATACTAACTAAATCAACCTGAGCCATACTAATCTCCTAAAATTAATTATAATCACTCGCAAAACATTATTAGGCGTGCATGCAAACCTACATATACGTTATAATTATTAGGGTTTATTTTAATTTCTGGCTCGAACGAGGGGTGACCGAGGAATCGGGGAATGAGGCGACATCATGTGCGGAGACATGAGACTCTCGTCGTATAACCTAGACGAAGAGAAACTAAGGCGAAGGTTCTGATTTTTCCAGTGCTTGGATTTCTCTGATGCATGATTCTTTTCCTTTCCTTGAAGAACAAAGTCTCGGATTCTCTCGAGCGCTACTTCGACCGTCTCGTCGTCCATGTTCGCGAAGCAGACGCGGAACCAGCCAGGCTCCGAGCATTGGAAAGACGAGCCCGGAGAGACGTTGAGTTTCACTTTGTTGATTATCACACGCCATAGCTCTATTTCGGCTTTGACGGTTTGTTCTTTGAGGAGTGGTCGCATGTCCATCCAGAAAAACAAACCGGCATGGCTTTTTAAGCTCGAAATCCCGACTCGTTCGAGTCCCTTAGTGAACACATTGTGTCTTTTGGCTAACCGCTTCGAACTCTCCCTTAAGAAATTCCCGACGAACTCTTCGTCGTTCAACATCGCAGCGAGCAGAAACTGTGTCTGAGACGAAACCAATCCGAAACTCGACATCTTTCGGGCACAATTCATAACATCGTCGTTGAAAGAGTAAACGATACCGACCCGAAAACCAGGGAACCCCATGTCTTTTGACAAGCTGTAAACAATGTGAATCAAGTCACGGTCGCAGTCCATGTCTTGTATGATCTCGGCGATGCTGATGAACCGAGGAGAGCCGAACACCGTGGCGGCATAGATTTCGTCGCAGACGAGGTGGATGCTCTTGTCGTTTATAAAACTGACCAAGCTTCTCGTTGTCTCTTTGTCGAGAACTGTGCCTAGAGGGTTCGAAGGGTTGGCTATGATGACGCCTTTGACATTGATGTTCGATTTCTGAGCTTTTTCATAGGCTTCTTCGAGTGCAGCTCTTGTTATACGAAAATTGTTCGAGCTTTTGCAGTCGACTGGAACTATGTCCAGCCCAGTGCGCCACCTTAGATCCCGAGCAAATCTGCATGATTTTTCAATTAGCAAAAACAAAATTAACGACTAAAGGGGAAATATTATTAAAAAAAATAATAAGTGTGAATTAAGACGTAAAGGAGAAACCAAGTAAGAGGAGAATAAAGTTTTTAACACTCTTAATAAAGCATTAAATTTAGAGAGAGATAGGAAATTGTCCAAAGAATTAAAGCTAGCTGTACACTACTATTTGAAATTGAGGAATTAGAGTCAAATTAAAGGTCTACTTTTTACAATTTTGTGGAAGTGGTAGGTCAAAGACAGAAGTCTAATTCGCTTAATACTATGTTTTATATTGATTAACTAATTAATTACTGTAAATACTATACAAATTAGCTAGTTTTTTTAGATCACGTGAGTTTGACCTAACTTATTGAATAAACTTATTATCAAGCCATTTTGAATTGCTGGTGTTTGACTTTAGAAAACCAAACTCTAAAGTCTAAATACTATAAAATGAAACCAACAGTCTAAAAAATCAATCACCTACCCCGCATAATAAGGTGAAGGCACAAGAAAAGCGTCGCCTGGATCGGCCAAACAAAACATGACGGTCTCGTTAGCACCGGTGGCCCCGCCACTCATGACTATACGGTTCGGGTCAAATGTGACCCGGTTTCCGCCTACTCTTCCCATAAATTTCGCTACTCCCTGAAGAAGAAGATGCCGCCATTAATAATCAACTCTTGACTACGTTAGAAAGTGATAATGAAGATGGTAGTATTTTTTTCATATATATATATATATATATACCTCTCTAAACTCCTTGAGGCCATGATAATCCTGAAAGATGGCGATATCTCTGAACTTATCGATGCCTTCGGCGGTGCAGATGGAAGCATCGGGGTTCTCCAGTATCCATTTTTTGATCAAATCAAAGCACAGCTGAATGAAAAGAAGAAAAAAAGTTATGAGAATTTCTGGGGAAAATCTGGGTTTGGCATTCAAATAAAGAAAAAGGCGATGAAAATAAACATTAACCTGATTCTCAGCAAGTCCCATCTGAATGACACCGTGAGGATTCTGTGTTGGGTGAAAAGGGTTGCTATCGAACGCTTTCCATCCATCGAAATACGGCGAGTTCTCGCCATGTCCGTCGTTAGTGGCTATCTTGGACAAGAGCTGCCGACTGTTTTTTCTCGTAAACTCCATTGGCGAGTGGAAAAAAAGGAAGAAAGAACAGTGGATGGAAAGGAATATTATTGTGTGTTGTGGGAATCAATAATATTCTATGATAAAAGGAAGAAAGAATTGTGGGAGCAAAAACTGATGGAATTGTGGTATTTATAGGAAATATTGATGGAATTTGGACCGATGGAGGCCGAGGAATGAAAGGATGAACAAAGACTCTAAAAGTCTATCATTCAAAGCTTTGATTCGGACACAAAAAAATGAAGAGCACGCGAGGAATAGGTTATGGGTCCTTTGCTCGTCGTAATAGCTTGCGTCTTAGATGTGATATCATGCACGTGCAAAACTAAATTAGTACGAACTAATTTAGCTCAATAGTTAAAGAAATTGTAGTTATTATTAGATGTCACGGGTTTAACATCAACGGTTGCAGCAGAATATTTGAGCGTTTATTATTAAATAATTAAAAAATAACAATATTAAGTTTTATAGCTTAAACTAATCAAGTTAAATAATAGGATTTTACTTAACAAATTTCATCATTACTATTTAGGTTTGGAAATGGAAAATCTAAAAGGTGCCTGAAGTCCTGAACTGACAATAATAAAACTAAAATACATAAACTAAATTCATATCGTATAAGGATTAATGAAATAATTTAACCTGTTTTAATTTTTTTGCTCATATGATAATGGATTCGGACGAGGAATTTTAACTTTGATTATTTGTTTCGTGGAATTTTCACCATTACTTATATGTTTTGATTATTTTAAGTTTTATTTCTTTAATATTCTCTCTTAGAAATCTAATGTTTGGGGTTAATGCTTAATACTCCACGCTTTTAATTGGATATATATTAAAGACCGGATTTTCAGAAATGTAAGATTCAACTCAAGAGGTTCCGTTGATGAAATTTCCCCGAAACACCACATGGGTTTAAAGTAATTAATTAAGCATAAATAATTGTACAAGATGTCCTAAAACTATGATCCTATTTTAAATTGGTTTCTATACTTTAATATGATTTATATCAATACTAAAATTGTTAACATCATTCATTTCGATCATTCTTATAATGTGACGTTAATTATATTGATTAAAAAGATGTAATAGATCTCTGAAGGTCTTGAAAATTAAATAATGTCCATCTAAAATTTTTCATGACATTTAAAAGTAAATTATTATTTGAAGGTCACGCGTTTAATTCTCGTGACCTTTTTCAAAAATTCTCATGACCTTTAAAATAGATTACTTTTTCTTTGAATATCATGAGTTCAATTCTTAGGGTATCTAGAAATCAATAGAGTTAATAGCACATTAACGGAAGATCGAAGTGGAATGATAAAGATGGTTTAACGACCGATATCAAATGCTTAAAAGTTTAAAGATCAACTTAAAACATAAATTACAATTTAAGAATATCTTAAATAATTAACTCGTTTTTAAAACCTAATTAAATTTAATTATAAAAGTAAACAATAATACTAATTTTATCCGATATACCTGACTAGTGATTTAAGTTTTAATTTTAGGGAGAAAAAAAAACATAGTTTGGTGGTCGGTTATCAAACTTAACCCCAACCAATGAGTCCATCACAAATCACAACAAACATATTGTGTAGCATCGTTCAACGTGTCAACAAGAAAACGATTTATATACATGGCATCCCACGTTCCTGGGTTTACTACTTGATTCGGCAAACTCCTGCCCCTCCGTCTTCTTCATCTACCTTTAACTTCCATTTCATCACCAAAACGCATAAGGTTTGACTATTGAAGCAAAAACACAGCAAAAATGGGAATTGATAGCGTAAAACTAAAAGCAGCTTATAATAAACCGGCACGTTTAGGTTCTCGATTATTCGAATTCTAAAAATAAATTTACCAAAATAATCATAAAACCTGCCGTCCACGTTAATCGGGTGTGACTGTTGCATTAAATTGAAGTGGTGTGGAGAGCCATTTAAAACGTGATAGGTGTTTTCCCGTAACCAATGTTTCAAAATGGGGGGGGGGGGGATCAAACTGTAGGAAATTTATGTATCAAATTGACTTTCGAGTAGCCATTCTCAGACATATTAATTTTATCACGTTCTTGCACGTTGTCACGTGAAATCTCTTCTAGTCTCTGTAATTTGGATTTATTAGTTGTTGGACTCATTTTCGTGACTAAAAGTATTGTGTTCTCATGTTGATATTACACCTTCAATAAATATCTGTGTAATTTTAATATTTATTATTATTTATATAATAATTGTTGTCAATGTTATTGGGATAAAGCGGAAAATAAAACTGACAATAACTATCGATAATTTTATTATGTTGATAAAGCGGATTGCCTTGAGGCAGTCCGTCTCGTAAATGATGATCACTGTGCAAATTGCTCTTTGGTCCGATCAATCAACCATATCAGGGAGCGCCAATGGACACCAAGAGTCGAATGGATCCCCGAGAAGCAAATAGGATCGCAGATGCCCTTGCTCACTCCCAAGTTGATATTCTTGCTGGTATGCACATTTACACAGAGCCCCCGGTGTCTATCTTGGATTTGCTTAATCGTGATTGCTATGGGCCCCTTACATGTGATCTTAATGTAATCTTGCTGTCATTACAATTCAAAAAAATATTATAGATTTATCAAATAATTATATTTTAAATTATAATATTTAATTATTTATTATGAGGTAAAGTTTTAATATTTCATATTTTTGAAGATCTAATAACTTTCAAACGAGTTGAAACTATTTTTTAAAAAACATTTCACCAGTTTCTACATAAGTTTGGACAAACAAGAGAGAATCAACTCTAAGTTATGAATTTTGACTTCAAATATTTGAACAGTTCATATGTTTAGAGTATGAAATGAAGTAAAAAAACCAATACTTTAAAAAAAGCTACAAGTAGGAATATTCATTTCAACTTATCAGTTTCCGAAAATTTCCCAGAAAAGTTCATTTTTATCTTTGTTTTTTATTCTTATTTAAGAAAAATAAGAATGAAAATTAAAGTGTCGGTGTAAAACCTAAAAGGTCTTAGTCAAAGTTCCAACATTCGATTCCCCACCCACAGAATTTAAGAAATAAAAATCGGTCAATTGAAGTTTATATTATGAAAAGTGGCAAGCTCTTTTTTTTTTTTTTTACAAATTTCGAAATTGATTTTGGTTTTGTTTCTTTAAAATTTATTTTCTAATGACATGGTAATAATATGAATTAAAAAAAAAAAAGTCGAGGGAGGTTTGATGAATTGTTGGAGTGATGAGGGAAATGGTCAAGTTTTGATGTAAAGCCGACAACTGTTCAAACTTCAAATCTATTTGAGATTGAGTCTGTGTACCAACGTAATCAATGGGCCTTGTTTCTCTGGATAATACCAACCCTTAATTTCTAACTAATTGCATGCCAAGAAAAACTAGCATAGACTGAGGCTTAGGAGAGTAGATCTTGTGTCGTTGAATCCTTACTTTTGAATATTGTATTCAGATCTTGTGTTGTTCACTGTTTGATTTTCAATGTTGTATTGTGGTCGTGGTCGTGGTCGTGGTCGTGGTCGTGGTCGTGGTCGTGGTAATACGTGTCTTCGACACGTCCGCGCGGATACTATCTTTTTAGAGAAAATTCTTAAGAAACAAAATTTTTTTAACTGTTCTTTTGACCGTTGCGATTTTATTTTCAACGTTGCGATTCTATAAATCGCATTGCGATTCTCTCAGTCGCATTGCGATTTTCTTCTAAATCGCGTTGCGACTCTCTCAATCGCATTGCGATTATATAAATCGCATTGCGATTCTATCAATCGCATTGCGATTCTATCAATCGCATTGCGATTCTATCAATCGCATTGCGATTCTATCAATCGCATTGCGATTCTATCAATCGCATTGCGATTCTATCAATCGCATTGCGATTCTATCAATCGCATTGCGATTCTATCAATCGCATTGCGATTCTATCAATCGCATTGCGATTCTATCAATCGCATTGCGATTTTCTTCTAAATCGCGTTGCGAACTTGGAAGCTCGCGTTGCGATTTTCTTTTGACCGTTGCGATTTTCTTTTTAACGTTGCGATTTTCTAAATCGCGTTGCGATTTTCTAAATCGCGTTGCGATTTTGATATCGCGTTGCGATTTTATTGGTCATTTTGGCAAATCCAAAAAAAGTTGGTTAAAATCGTATATTATAAAGTATTTTTGGTCACTGAGGCGATTTTCTCTTGTTTATATTATGATAGTTAATTATATATAAAATAATAGTAATAAAATACATTATTCATCACTAATAAGTTGATCTAGTAGAATGAAATATCAAATCCTTTAAATAAAATTACAAATATGAATCCTAACATTATAAATAAAGTAGTTGAATTAAGACGATAATCTCATAATAAATCTATAAATGTTTAATTTAAAATAACAGAATAAAAAATAAATATCCGTAATTATATAGGGAAAAAAATGCATTGCACAATCTTTCATATGATGGAACTGACTAAACTTGAATGGTAGAAGGAAAAAAGAAAGGTTTTACAAAATAAAAATGAACAGGAATTTATAAATAATACATAAAAAGTTTTGGTTATCAAAATTCGATTAATATTTAATCAATTAAATCATTAAGAATTGATTTGTATTATTATTATTATTATTATTTGTTTGTATTTAATATTTTCTCAAGTTATTCAATTGTAATTTTAACACTTGTTATAATATTTGTACTTTAAGATGAATTTCATCTATGAAAAACAAGACTTCTGGGTAGGCTTGAGATTCGAAGACTATTCTAGATTGATGGCTAATCCATCCATCATCTACGAATCGTATAACCAAAATACGATTATTATTAGGATTGTCTCGTCTCATTTATAGACTTAATTATTGTTATACAGACACTTAATTTCCTAAGAGCGTTGAATCGAGCTCTACTTGTATCTACTACTGACGGGTGACAACAGTTTGGCTGGCTAATTCTTTATGTTCATTGCTACTAGCTTATATAATCTATCCACCTGCATAAATACCATTCTAAAATACGTCAGAACCAAAAGAAAAATATCACCACCTAACAATTATAAATTATAATGCAAAAAAAAAAAATACAGAGGAAAAAAAATCTAAGAATCAATCAAACAATTTTGTTATCGAGATGTTGGTCAACTGATTAGGTGGATGTTGACTTTCAGATTTCAATTTTAGCGTAAGCGTACGTGGAGAATGTTTCTTTTCTTATTTTATATAATTTTATAATAATGTCTTTCTTGTTCCGTGAGCTCCAATCATTTAAAAAATATACCAAAATTAATTTCTTTTAGTTCATTCTTTAGCTTTTTAGCTGTCACTAGACCCGCCTGTTCGACTGGCCATCATTCATTTGTATTTTTTCTCCTTTTTTGTTGCGGCTCAAGTCATCGGAGAGTGACACGCGTACTGCCGTTTCTGGGACTACATGAGGCTGATGCCAATCTTCCTAACACCTCAGATTGGTAGTAATCTTAACTGAAACACGAGGAAGAAAACACATGCAAATGTTCCAATAATCAAAAGGATTTACATAATCTTTTCTCTGGGTCCATGTTTTACGGGAGCATTTTAGAGAAAACTAATTAGATTAAATATGAATTCTTTTGAGGATGAATACAATGGAACATGACCGCTATTCATGTTTTTCGAAGTTATTTTGTAAATTTATTATTACTATTCCTATTTTGAATAGAATAAGCAGTCATAATCTTGTACATTCCTCTGCTATTTCTCAGCAGACTATCAATATCAATATTTTTTTTAATTCTTGGCTTTTTTAAACCCTTTTTTCCCTAACAATGACCTGTATTTGTTCTGGAATCGTCAATTGTTTTATAACAATATGAAACCTCTAACTAATCTAATAATAACCATATAAACTTAGCAGTAAAACCAATTCCTATGGCCAAGTCTAGAAGAATCAAGCATCACTTGTTTACATCAAAACTGACCTGTTTCAACATAGGATTACCAGTTTGGTTAGAACGCATGTTTCAAACCGTTCCTCGGTCAGAGCCACCGGAATTCTCGCACAAAGAAGGAAAACAACATTGAATTCCCCACCTAAAGTGTAATTCATGTTTCAGTCTAATTTATCGACCGAATCCCGGCGTGACTCATGTCAAACTTGGGGAGGCAATTACAATTGGGGTGTAATTCACTTTGGTTAGAATGCATGTTTCAAACCCCATAATGTCATGATACTAGCCAGCCAGTGGCAACAGCCCACGTGTTTCTCATGTTCTATGGTGTAGGACAGGTCATTAACATGAAAATAATGTCATTAGATTCTAGACGGTAGGACTATCATTATTTAACCAGTGTAGGTGATTTTGTCTATAGCCTGAGGGTCACCGTTTTTTGGCTTTTCGGATGGGGTTTCCTATTCAAGTATCGAACCCTGTTCTTTCTAATATTTTTAACTAGCTCTTGGAGATGGGTTTAGTTAAATTCAGTTTCATCTTCGCAACGACTGGTCGAACTGGAAGTTGGTCACTTTATGGAATAGTAAAAAATTTAAGGTGGGTAATTCATCAATTAGCTCCTGGTATATTCCTTCGAAAGGGTGATTTGGCATGGCTGGGTTCAAATGGGGTTGGAGTCTAGATTTATGTTGATTTGGTTCGTCAATTTTTTGTATCGTCTGTAGTGCTGGAAATTGATATTCTATCGAGAAAGATTGATGAAGTCTCGATGTTGAGATGGAATGACTTGTTGGCTTACGAATGATGGTGTGAGTAGACATGAGTCATTTAAAGAAAGGTGGTAAGGGGTAGTGGTATCTTACTTCAGTTGGAATTGATTCGGGGTATATAAGTGTTTTTGTGCTTGCTGTGTTTGTGGATGGTTGATATACATTAATCATTACCATGTCATTCCTGGTGTGTTGAAGGCGTTGTGGTTTTGCTGTTTGATTGCCTTTGAATGGGATACTGTTTTTTCCATGTCATAGTGTTTGGTAGTTGTGATATTAAACTGTTGTTTTGCATTTGAAGAATCAAAATTGTCATCCACGATCAAAACACTCCCTTTACTATCGGTCTTCTTAGAAGTTTTAAGAGCCCTCAAGACTTCATTATCTTTCACTTCAGTCAGTGTCTCCAGGTCCTGGATTCTTTTCTGATGAAACCACAAACAGATGAACTTTTCTGTAATATTACACCACTTATGGAAAAAGGTATTCATAGTGCTTCATAGCAGACTCACTTGCAGTTTGTCTGTCTTCTCTTTTGCTTTCTCAAGTTTCTTCTGCAGACGAGCTTCACCTCTACCAAGAAGATGGCACTTGGCCATCAATTCTTTATAACTCCTGTTGAAGTTTTGAGCATTGTCAGAACTTAAAGTGCACGAGTAAATATGATGGATGCAACCATTGGCAATGAAAAATGAAATGGAAAAGATAAATTGACTTATGAATAAATACATAAACAATCCAATGTCACAACAAAGCCATAACATCAAGACAACCCTATATTTTCTTTTTGTTGAAAATTAAACCAACTTTCGGTGGAAAGTTGGATTTAATTAATCCACCGAATGGCAAATGTCAAAAAGGGTGGATTTGTGTTGAAAATTAACAATGGTAGAAATACACTTTTAGTCATTGTAATTTAGGATATTTACAAATTAGTCCTTAAAGCTTTAACTATAAATACCCTAGCTCATTTAGCTTCAAAATCATCCAAAGCATTCTAGTTTTCTTCCAATACTAGAGAGAATTTAGAGAGTTTCTTGAGAGTTGTTTTCTCCTTTTTATCAAGAGAGAATTATCATTATTTTTTCCTTGGTAGATCGAGAGAGGTTGTAATTCCTATTTTCTCATAGTGAAATTCTTCTACCGTTGCCCGTGGTTTTTACCCTATATTTTTTAGGGGTTTTCCACGTAAATTTTATCTCTTTTATCTTCATTTTTATTTTCTCAAATTATCAGTTGCGATTTTGCTCTATCCGATAGCCGTCTTCCGCAACAATTGGTATCAGAGCTAGATTAGAGTATGTAATATCTGCTTATTGTCTTTGTGGTTGCCACCAAAAGGTGGATCATCCAACATAAGAAAATAAGAAGTTATTACCCATTCTTTGAAGGTTCCAGAGAACTATTCACGATAGTGAAATAGTGAGAGCTATCCGTAAAAGAAGACATGGCAACGAAATTTGATATTGAAAAATTCAATGGGAGAAATTTCTCATTGTGGAAATTGAAGATGAAGGTCATCCTGAGAAAAGACGGTTGTCTAGCAGCTATTAGTGAAAGGCCGGTGGATTTCACAGATGACAACAAATGGATCGAAATGGACGGGAATGTTATGGCAAACTTTCATCTAGCATTAGCAGATGAAGTATTGTCAAGCATCGAGGAGAAGAAGACAGCTAAGGAGATATGGGACCATCTCACCAAATTGTACGAGCCCACATCGCTGCACAATAAAATTTTCCTTAAGAGAAAATTATACACTCTCCGTATGCCAGAATCTACTTCAGTGACGGAGCACTTAACTACACTGAATACTTTATTTTCTCAGCTTACATCCTTAAGTTGTAAAATAGGAGAACAAGAACGTGCTGAACTTCTACTTCAAAGTCTACTGGATTCGTATGATCAACTCATCATCAACTTAAAAAACAGTAATGTCACTAGTCTAATCTTTGATGATGTTGCAACTACTGTTCTACAAGAAGAAAATCGGTGCAAGAACAAGGAAGACAGACAAGTAAATCTGCAACAAGCAGAAGCGTTGACAACGATGACAACGATGAGAGGGAGATCAATAGAACGTGGCCAAAGCAGCAGTCACAAACATGGTAGATCGAAGTCGAGGAGCAAGAAGAATTTAAAGTGTTACAACTGTGGAAAGAAGGGTCATTTGAAGAAGGATTGTTGGAGTCTAAATAAAAACTTCAATCCACAAGGCAATGCCGAAAACACTTCAGATGATGGAGATGCTCTATGCTGTGAAGCGTCAACCACCGTGGAAGGTAGAAAACGATTTGCAGATATATGACTCATTGATTCGGGAGCAAAATATCACATGACCTCAAGAAGAGAATGGTTCTATCATTATGAACCTGTCTCAAGAGGATCTGTGTATAGTTGCAATGATCATGACTTAGAGATCATTGGTGTAGGAACCATCAAATTGAAGATGTATGATGGAACAATTAAAGTTGTTCGAGATGTGCGGCACGTGAAAGGCCTGAAGAAAAATTTATTATCCTACGGATTGTTGGATAATAATGCAAGCAAGATTGAGACACGAAAATGAATCATGAAGGTGTTCCGTGGAGCGCTTGTGGTGCTGAAAGGCGAGAAGATAGTAGCAAATTTGTACATGCTGAAGGGAGAGACTTTGGTAGAAGCAGAAGCCTCTGTTGCCTCATGTAGTTCAGATTCGGCAATGCTATGACATCAGAAACTTGGACACATGTCAGAACAAGGAATGAAAGTTCCTGTTGGAGCAAAAGCTACTTCCAGGCTTAACAAAGGTATCACTTCCTTTGTGTGAGCATTGCATAACAAGTAAGCAGCACCGGTTAAAATTCAACACATCAAATTCTAGAGGCAAAAGTGTTATAGAATTGGTTCACTCTGACGTATGGCAAGCACCAGTAACGTCCCTAGGTGGAGCAAATACTTTATCTCATTTATTGATGACTACTCCAGGAGATGTTGGGTGCACCCTATTAAGAAGAAGTCAGACGTTTTTTCAACTTTCAAAAACTTCAAAGCGCGGGTGGAACTTGATTCTGGAAATAAGATCAAGTGTTTCAGAACAGATAATGGAGGAGAATACACAAGCGAAGAATTTGACGACTTTTGCAAGAAAGAAGGCATCAAAAGACAGTTCACAGTGGCGAACACTCCTCAACAAAATGGAGTGGCAGAGCGGATGAACAGAACCTTGTTAGAAAGAACAAGAGCAATGTTGAGGGACGCATGCCTAGAAAAATCATTCTGGGCAGAAGCAGTCAATACCGCCTGTTATTTGGTAAATCGAGCTCCATCAACTTCAATAGAGCTGAAGACACCAATGGAGATGTGGACTGGTAAACCAGTTGATTATTCAAACCTCCATGTATTTGGAAGTATTGTGTACGTGATGTACAACGCCCAAGAAATTTCAAAGCTGGATCCAAAATCCAGGAAATACAAATTCTTGGGGTATGCTGATGGAGTAAAGGGGTATCGCTTGTGGGATCCCACTGCCCGCAAAGTGATCATTAGCAGGGATGTTATCTTTGTAGAAGATAAACTACAAAGAAAAGAAGACGATGATAGCATTGAGAAGTCAGAGACTACTCAGATACATGTGGAAAAAGAGTTTGAAGAAGGAGATTCTTCTGAAGCAGAACCAGCACATGATGAACAAGAACCAGAGAGTTCTGAAGCTCCAACAACTCGTCAATCAGATCGTGTGAGAAGACGTCCCAATTGGCACTCAGATTATGTTATAGAAGGTAATATTGCATACTGCCTTTTAACAGAGGACGGTGAGCCATCAACATACCAGGGCAATAACAGCTCAGATGCTTCACTGTGGATGATGGCGATGCAAGAAGAAATCGAAGCCCTTCATAAAAATAATACATGGCACCTTGTGCCACTACCACAAGGAAAGAAGCCAATTGGTAACAAATGGGTTTTCAAAATCAAGTGAAATGGTGACGATCAAGTGGAAAGGTGTCGTGCAAGACTGGTGGTCAAAGGATATGCTTAGAAAGAAGGTATTGATTTCAATGAAATTTTTTCTCTTGTGGTTCGACTAACAACAATTCGAGTAGTCTTGGCAATGTGTGCTACATTGAATTTACATTTGGAACAACTAGATGTTAAAACAGCTTTTCTTCATGGAAATCTTGAAGAAGAGATTTATATGCTCTAGCCTGAATGTTTTGAAGAAGACGAAAAAAAGAGAACTTGGTTTGCAGGTTGAACAAATCTCTGTACGGTCTAAAGCAGGCACCGAGGTGTTGGTATAAGAGATTTGATTCCTTCATTATGTGCCTTGGATACAACAGACTTAATGCAGACCCTTGTGCTTATTTCAAGAGGTCTAGTGATAACGATTTTGTTATATTGCTGTTGTATGTGGATGACATGTTGGTTGCAAGACCCAACAAATATCATATTGAAGAATTGAAGGCACAACTGGCTAGGGAATTTGAAATGAAGGACTTAGGATCAGCAAACAAGATTCTAGGGATGCAAATTCACCGAGACATAAGTAATAGGAAGATTTGGCTTTCACAAAAGAATTACTTGAAGAAAATCTTGTCACGATTTAGCATGCAAGATTGTAAGCCAATTTCTACCCCTCTTCCTATTAAATTCAAATTATCCTCTAGTATGAGTCCTAGCAGTGAAGAAGAGAGAATGGAGATGTCTCGAGTACCTTATGCATCAACAGTGGGAAGTTTAATGTTCGCTATGATATGCACAAGACCAGACATTGCACAAGCAGTGGGAGTGGTTAGTCGGTACATGGCGAATCTAGGCAAAGAGCATTGGAATATTGTAAAGAGGATCCTAAGATACATTAAAGGGACCTCAAATGTTGCATTATGTTACGGAGGATCAAACTTACTAATCAATGGGTATGTAGATTCTGACTATGCAGGGGATTTGGATAAAAGCAAATCTACTACAGGATATGTGTTCAAAGTTGCTGGTGGAGCTGTAAGTTGGGTTTCAAAATTGCAGTCAGTTGTGGCTACGTCCACAACAGAGGCAGAATATGTAGCAGCTACACAAGCCAGTAAAGAAGCAATTTGGTTGAAGATGCTATTGGAGGAGCTTGGGCACAATCAAGAGTATGTCTCTCTGTTTTTGTGACAGTCAAAGCGCCTTGCATCTAGCAAGGAATCCAGCATTTCATTCAAGGACTAAGCACATACGAGTTCAGTACCATTTCATTCGTGAAAAGGTGGAAGAAGGAACGGTAGATATGTAGAAGATCCATACCAAGACAACATAGAGATTTCATGACGAAGGCAATCAATGCTGATAAATTTACTGGTGTCGATCCTCCTGTGGCCTTCAGAAAACGTAAGCAACATGAAGGTACAAGGTAGAAAGAATGGTGTGAAGATATGATTGTTCCAATCAAATCTTCAAGTGAGAGATTGTTGAAAATTAAACCAACTTTCGGTGGAAAGTTGGATTTAATTAATCCACCGAATGGCAAATGTCAAAAAGGGTGGATTTGTGTTGAAAATTAACAATGGTAGAAATGCACTTTTAGTCATTGTAATTTAGGGTATTTACAAATTAGTCCTTAAAGCTTCAACTATAAATACCCTAGCTCATTTAGCTTCAAAACCATCCCAATCATTCTAGCTTTCTTCCAATACTAGAGAGAATTTAGAGAGTTTCTTGAGAGTTGTTTTCTCCCTTTTTATCAAGAGAGAATTATCATTGTTTTTTCCTTGGTAGATCGAGAGAGGTTGTAATTCCTATTTTCTCATAGTGAAATTCTTCTACCGTTGCCCGTGGTTTTTACCCTATATTTTTTAGGGGTTTTCCACGTAAATTTTGTCTCTTTTATCTTCATTTTTATTTTCTCAAATTATCAGTTGCGATTTTGCTCTATCTGATAGCCGTCTTCCACAACACTTTCCTCGTTTTTCAATCTGTGCATTTGGAATTAGATATCATGAGAAAGATGAGCAGAAATGTTATCATAATTCCCTATTTTCTTTCTTTTTCCTTTTTTACAAGTAGAGAGAGGTTGCCCGGGAACGAATCCGAGACCAAATATCAACCATGACTGAAAAAGCAATGCCCCTTGATAAATACATCACAGGCTTGGTTTACAATTCCCCTTTTTCTCTTTGTTTCAACCATTAGCCTACCACCATGCACAACCCAATACATGTTTTGAGTGTTTGAGATAGATAGGATCATACGACAGTGTTCTCCATAACTACTACGAGAAAAAAATTAGAACCTCCAAGCAGTAAATGCATGCTAAGTGCCAATGGCCAACACTAACCGTGCATCAATGATGAGCATTATTAAACATCCAAAATGTATTGATAAATCCTAGAAAGCAATTTAACCAAGCAAAAATTAACTGAACATATATAATTTGTTAATTAGAAAACACGCTATATTTGCATAATATAAGCTTGAAAAAAGGTAAGCACGTAGACTATTCGGTGGCGGCAACCATCTTACTTTTTATGACAGGACAATGACCTAATCAGATTATCTACTACATCTTGGTTGTTCCCTTCATTACCAAGTGAGGCAAGCTTTAACATCTCATCTTGCTCCAGGTCCAAATCTGTTACCCTATCATAAACCATAGAAACAAGTAAGCAACAAACATGAGAGAAAGATGTATGGAGGCTTATAGGATTATGGCAAAGGCAATCATGGGGCTAAAGGGGGCAACCCATGGTTTAGGAATGAAATTGATTTGGGTTTAGTTGGCGTGTTTCGAGTAATATAATTGCAATATTTTTAAACGTCTTGATTGCCATTTTGACATAATAGTAACAAAGTGAATAGATGAACTCACAATTTTAGCACAGCAAGTTCCTTGGCAAGTGCCATGTTCCTTTGCTCGAGCCTTGAACATTCTGAATTTGATTTACTTTACAATCACCAAATAAAATTATTCAAAATCATTTAAATGAATTGGTGAAAGTACATTTTTTGTCCAATGGTATATACATGACAATCACCTCAGATTTAGAATCGAGCATTTGTTGAATGGATGCCTTTTCTCTTGAGGCTTCAATTTTCAAGGACGTTTCTCGCTTCATCTGCTCCTTGCAAAGACACAGCTAAAACACCAGAAGACACATGATTGAGTAATTGAAATTTGCAATTCAAATTCCATTTCAATTTATGTAAAAATATATTTTTTTTCTTCAAACGGAAAGAAAATAGGAACCAAAAAGTACCTCCAGATTTATCTCATTATGTTCCTTCTCCTGACGTTCTAAGGCAGAACTAAGCTCCGAAACTTTGACCATCAATCTCTTCACTTCGATGCGTAATGACTCCGCATCTTCCTCACGATCAAGCAAAACGATTAGGATTGATCTCCTATTGATTGGAAATAAAGACGAGCCGCATTGTGCCCAAGACAAGTCTGCTTTCATACAGGGCAAGTATACTTCTTCGTAGAACTCGAATAATACTCAAACCACTGTTGTAAACTATGCGATTGCAAAAAAGAAAAAGAAATAAAAACACCGCGTTTCAGTACAAAATATGTTTGAGTTTTAAGAAAGAAATTGGTTTCCTGTTTCTGGTGAAGTTAGCTGCAGAGGTAGGACAAGTATTATTTCTAGGAACCTTTTCTTTTAGTATTTTTCTAATACAACTAGAGTGGGAAATTGGTCATTAATTTATCAGAGGATCATTACCTCTTCCATCACCTTTCTTGTATAGGTTCTCGATTTCTCAGTTACAGATAAAATAATATAAACTATTAAATTAACAAAGAAATAAAACTGCATGCTGCAAAAACCAGAGCAATTTTCTGGTTTCTTCCATGTCCCAGCGATTATGATCAACTCATCGCACTATATAATCCGATAACACGAGCTTCATCTTGCAGTCATTTTATGTAGTCGAGGTAGAAACCTTGGTTCCTTCTTTGGAGCTTTTTAATTGTCCAATTCACCACCAGCAGAGTTCCCACTTCTGAAAGAATAAGCAAATCAATGTGTTATAGGTGACACTATTTCCTCCATTTCCTTGAAAATTTCATGAGCACACTCTTCAAACTAAATTATAATAAATATGAAATTAAATCATATCAATATCTAATCATGTCACATCATTAAAAATTAAATATAATATTATATACTTGTAGAAGTGTACATGAATCCATTAATAAAAATTATATAGGTTGTTGTGATCATCCAAGTAAAAATTACCTAACAGGATGATAGTAATAAAAGTTAACATATTAGGTCAATCTTCCAAGTATTTATAATTTTATCCCCATCAAGTTATAAAATAAACTTATGATATCTGTAATTTAATACCTATGATACATCTAATATATTTGACATTTAATTTTATTATAAGATTGTACATCATGCCTATTTACCCGCAATGAAAGATTTTAATCCAATAACAAAGAGCATTATAGCACATTCTGTCCGGGCAGATGCCAGCTTGTTTAAACTGGACAACAAACAGTCAGCATCATCCAAATGCCCGATTCTGCAAAGGCCATTGATCAAGTTATGGTAAACCGTAACATCGGGAGAGCATTCGCTTGTCAACACTTGATCAAAAAGATCAATCGCCTTATCGAAATTGTTAACATCAGAGAAAGCAGTAATTAGAGTAGTATAAGTAAAGGCATTGGCCCTGCATATCATTAAAGAACACGATTGCAGTATTGATCCTCCTATGTTTGCACATACCATCCACCAATATATTAAGAGGAGATACAGCATCAGGCAGCAACCCTTCTTCAATCATCCCATCAAACAGCTCCTCCCCTCTCTCAATCTCTCCAACTTTACAAAATCCATTGATCAAGCAAGTATAAGTAACCATGTCTCCCAATTGTCAAAACCAACTCAATGACTTCTTCCTTCATCAAGTTCACCCCTTTTCTATTTCTCTTCACCAACCTCATTTCCCTATTTGCCCCCTCAGATACATTATTTGACAAGAGTTGAATTTGTCAAATAAAACATAATTCCTAATTTCCAAATAAATGAATAAATAAAGTAGTATAGAGAAGTAGGGTCGATCCACAAGGACTAAGGAAGTTTGATAATATCGTTTCTCAGATTGAATTAACTATAAAAAATAAAAGAGGGGATTTTAAAATTAATGAATGTAAATAAATATTGAATAAAAAATAATGAGAAAATAGAGAAAGTAAATAAAGTAAAGGAATTCAATAGAGATGATATAGCCTTAGGTTTTGCTTAGTCTCAATTTTGATCGATCATCGAAATAAAAATTTTCCCTTCGTGATGTACGGCGACTACAGTCAACAGGTACAACTAACTCTTCTCTCCGGTTAATCAAAATTTTCAAGTCTATCTCTGAAATCTGGAAAAGCCCAACTCGAGTTATAGAGTCTCACCGAGAATCAAACTCGATCTTGTTCTCCTTGACAGACCCCGCTAAGTCTGTTCACAGGAAGCCGAATTACGACCAACCGATCTAACTTCCAAACTTCAAGAAAACAATTTTCAAATCAACTTGCACTTTTTGAGTTGAAGTTGTGATAACATTTAAAGGAATGACCGATTGCCACTCCTAGTTTCCAAAGAATCAAAGAATACAATATGAAGGTATGAATATCAAGAATCAATCCTCACCATTAGAATTGAGTTTCACAAAAACCTTTAGCTAAGTAGAAGTTCAACCAAGCGTGGATTGGATCATGCTTGGCATTGTGAAAAGATAATAATAAAAGAAGAAAAAGAAAGAAAGAAAAGTGGAGATAAAGAAAAACATAAGTTTAATAATGAACAAAGGAAAAATAAATTTCAATCTATTTTTTAATTGTTGAACCTAAGGTATTTATAACCAAGAATTTTAAGTAAATAAAATAGCTAATTTCTAAATAAAATAGCTAATTTCTAAATAAAAGATAATGATATAATCTTTTATTCAAAATAAACCCAATATAAAAATAAATCAATAATATCCAAACGATAAATAATAGATAAATAATAATAAAAATATGTAATATTAAACTCTCATAATTACTCTTCTAATTTTATCAGTGATTTATGTTTTATATATATATATATATATTAAAAGTTATTTCAGAATAAAGCTTTTATTTATTTAAAATTTATTAAGTAAAATAGATAAATTAGGCTTTATAAAGACAAAGAAATGTGTTCCGATTTTCATTCCTTGTATTGTACCATGATAATATAATTAAGCGAAGTTGGAAGTTTTTGGCAAAAATTCAAGCTGACATAAGACAACAAAACATTAAAGGAGTCAACTTTTTGGAAATTAATGGGTGACCTAATCAGGACCCTCCTTCCCAGGCATGGCTACGCCGGATGTACAGAATGGGTTGGCGACTACAGTCATCCTTTTGAAGAAAAAAATTGGTTGCCATGTATGGGCATAAGGTTTCGCACTAATTCAGATATCTGAATCGTACACTTAATTTTAATGAGTGAGTCTCTCAATAGAGATTTTATACATACACAATAACTCAAACTCAAGATTTACTTAAAGAGATATCAATATACTTATCTTAAACCAATCCCATTAAATTTCATATAATTTAGATATTTTTATATTTTAATAAATAATTTATTTTTATCCATTAAAATTTTTAAATTTATCACTCTCAAATTTTATAAATTTTTTTCTAGTTACGGACCAGTCATACACTAAGTCGAAGTTCATGTGGAACTTGACCTAAGGTCTATTCAATGGACTGGGTGAGGCTCTCAAAGAAGCCGAGTTACCGGATAGAATGTTAATATCCAAGATTTCACTGTCATCTACAGTAAGTGACCAAACTACAGAAAACTATGGGAGGAAAAAGGAAAATGCAGCTCCAAGTTAACACTTGAATTAATTATCGAGGAATTATACACACATATATATGAGTTTATGGCATGCTTTGGCGTTAACGTGTCTCGCCTATTACTTGAGGACCAGAGGCAGTTGAACAGAAGTAGTTGAGATATTGTTGCGTTCACCAAGGTTGCAAGAGAAAGGAATTAAAACACCCTCTCTTGTGGGGCAGTCCAACCTCTTTACCTTCCACCACTTTCCTTCCCCTCTTTTAAACCTCTTTTCTTCATCATTCTCACTTCCTCTCTCTCTCTCTCTCTCTCTCCATATTTTCTCTCGGAACCCTTCATCCTACATGGACGGCCAAGAAAGTACACTGCCACCGCCGCCCTTACTATCACCCCTTAACGTTCCTTTTCTCTTTCCATCTTCCTCGTTGAACCCTCCTTTGGAAAGTAGTCTAAATATTCTCCCCGACATCGACTGGGTTAGCCTCCTCTCTGGTCTCGGACAGGAGAACAAGGTAATGATTGGGAGTGGTTCTAATAATATGATGTCTGTAAACGGAGTTGGTTATCAGATTCAACAGGGTGATGATAAAGGTCACAAGAATAAGAGGAAAGGTAGTAGGATGAAAAAGAGAAGCAAGCCCAGATTTGCTTTCCAAACCAGGAGTGAAGATGACATTTTGGACGATGGTTACAGGTGGAGAAAGTATGGTCAGAAATCTGTTAAGAATAGCATGTATCCAAGGTTTGTATCTCTTATGTATACGTTGCATGGCATGCATGTTTATTCGTAACTCTATCTTCTTAACTTTTAATGCATATGCTTATATGTTTATTTATTTATATACCACTTATTTAAGATTAATTTTTTTTTCAAAAAAAAATTAAGATTGAATATATTATACCAAATATTATAAGCATTTATATGTTATTCAAGTATTCGAATCGAGATGAGAATGGAGTTTATTTCTTCAGTTATACATGTTAGTCTAATGGGATGAGATATTAGATCCCTTAAACAAGGCTAGGAGTTCTGGCGATTGTAAATTGAGCAAACTGGGTTGGGAGGGTCGCCCTTGCTTCTATAGTATAAATTAGTAATGCATCAAGTAAAAATCATTTAGTTAAACCCGATTAATTTATTTCTAAGCACGAATCAAGTGACCTCCGTGGTAAAGAATTATTGTTATCAATTGAGAATTTATCTTTGAATAGATACAATATTGTAATTACCAAATTAATAAAAAAAAACTTATTTCTAAAAATTGATAAAAGTGGTGTACAGCTCCTTATATATGAAATACATTTTAGTCTATAATTTTAAAATGAGCATAGAAAAATTCATATGCATTGAGGAAAAAAAAAGGTAAAATTTACAATGGAGGAAATATTAACTTTATGATGTGAATTTAATTAAATAAAGTGGTATTATTTAAAAAAAACAAGACATTTTAAAATAATGTGGTATATTCATCCAATCAATTATAATTTATAATTTTAGCTAGTTATATTTAACTTGATCTAATTTCTCACACATCAATTATAATTCTCATACGCATATTTTTTTATTATAAAACGCATATATTATGTTAGAACTTTTGCAATTAAATATTGTTATATTGAGTTTCAAGGATGTGTTTTTGGAAGTAGGATAATGAAATTAATATTCATCCTTTAAATTAATAATAGAATAAAAGTTCTTATATATTCGAATTTCTAATATGCATTATTTTTCAATATTTTGTTGGTTTAATGATTGAGCTTTCTTTTTGTTTTGAATGAATGAAGGAGCTATTACCGGTGCACGCATCACACATGCGATGTGAAGAAGCAGATACAAAGGCTTTCAAAGGACACGAGCATGGTGGTGACGACATATGAAGGCATTCACAACCATCCCTGTGAGAAGCTAATGGAAACCCTGGCTCCTCTTCTCAAGCAAATGCAGTTCCTCTCTGGGTTTTAAATCTTTTATGTTTGTCGTGCAACCAATTAGCAGGTTCAAAGACCACCTCAAATAATTGAACCTTCTGCTCTTGTTTGTATATGTTACTTATATTCTCCTTTTCCCATTCTTATTTGCCTGTAAAATGTCGACTGCAATATCACAAACAACCTTATTATCAGCTTGAACTTGTTTTTCATATATTAAAAATGTTATATTATATATCATGTTATTAAAATTCACTCGTAATATATAATTTAATTTTTGTTTCTTCTTTCAAAAATTCTTTGATCCCAAGGTTTCAATTTTTCTAAAAATTTACTATTTTATTTTAACGTGAATTCACAACCCTTATTATCAGCTTGAACTGTTTTCATATATTAAAATGTATATTATATATATCATGTTATTAAAATTCACTCGCATCGTAATATATAATTTAATTTTTGTTTCTTCTTTCAAAAATTCTTTGATCCCAAGGTTTCAATTTTTCTAAAAATTTACTATTTTATTTTAACGTGAATTATTAATCCATTAATAATTAATGTTTGTTGTTAACGTAATAAGTCTTATGTATTTAAAGTGACGATGTGATATGTGAAACGTTATCATTTATGTTTATATGATATATGCTACATCATCATTTATATACACGTGACATGTAGTATATCATCACTTTCAACATGTGACATGTTATCACTTATATACATGTAACATATGCCACTATCATTTTGAATACATAAAACTTATCACGTCAACGAGAAACGGTAATCATTAATTAATTAATGATATTTTATTTATCAACAACCAACTAATTTAATTGAATGAGACACTAAATTTCTTACAAATTTAATATCATAAATTCGAATTATGATTTTTGAATGGAACAACTATAATAAAAATGGTTGAACAATCATTATCAAATGATTAATTAGACACTGCTTTATAGTTTATAATCAGTTTTAATTTAATAAAAGATTCAAATAATTATTCAATAAATGTTCAATTACCTCTCTCACAGAATGAGTGACACGTGTGAAGAAAGAAAAAGGAAATAATAAAAAACGGAGATCTCCTTCTACGGAAAACACACCGACTCTACACTTCTTTTTGTATCCAATCTCACGTACGTGTTTCCACCAAACTGATCCAGCAAACCTTACACGTGGCTCGAACCCAGATGTCTCCTCCACCCCTATATATATATAAAACACACACACACACAACATGATCTTACACTACATCGTTATAACATCAAACTATCAAAAACCCTAACCAAAATCTACATCCCTCGGTTCGGAATGTCGCAGTTGGTGGACAAAGCTAAGAACTTCGTGGCCGAGAAGGTGGCCAACATCAAGAAGCCGGAGGCCGACGTTACCGACGTTGATCTGAAACACGTCAGCCACCAGAACATAGAGTACGAGGCTAAAGTCTCTGTGAACAACCCCTACAGCCATTCAATCCCCATCTGTGAGATCTCCTACACTTTCAAAAGCGCTGGAAGGTTTGTTTGATGCCGTTTTTATTTCCCTCTTTTAGTTTTTAAAATTTTTGGGTTATTGATTATGTGTTGGGAACAGAGAGATTGCATCCGGGACGATACCGGACCCGGGGTCATTGAAAGCCAACGATACGACGATGCTGAACGTGCCGATGAAGGTGCCGTATAATATACTGGTGAGCTTGGCCAAGGATATTGGTGGAGATTGGGATATTGACTATGAATTGGGAGTTGGTCTTACCATTGATCTTCCTATCTTAGGGAATTTTACTATCCCTCTTTCTAAAAAAGGAGAGATCAAGCTTCCTACCCTTAGTGACATCTTTTGAATTAGTCGTATAGTTTGCTCAAAAACTTGTTCGTTTTCCCCTTTAGTTATGTTGTAATATGAAGAACGTGTCGAAATGTTATGTCTTTTCAGAATAAAACTTTCTGCTCGAGTGCTAATGGATGAAATCATCATCTAGAGGCTTGATTAGGAACATGATACCCTAATGATACCCTAAGTTCTGTAAACGAACCGAACGAACATAAACAAATGGATGTAAATGAACATAAACGAATAGAATAAACGAACTTAAACGAACACAAACGAACGAACGTAAATGAACATAAATGAAAATAGATTTTTTATTTCTTAACAATTTTAACATAAATGAAAATAGATTTTTTTAATTTCCTAACAATTTTAAGATTATATTATATTTAATTGTTTTGAGATTTTTTTTAATTTGTATTTAAAATTAATTAAATTTTAAAATATTTATTAGTATCAAATTAAAATTTATTGGGCTTTAATATTTTAAATGAGTCTAGAGAGATTGGGCTAAACGTAAATGAACGAATATAAATGAACGAACATAAATGAATGAACATATTACCGAACGTTCATGAACGTAAATGAACGAACGAGCCATCTGTTCTTGTTTGTTTATTTAATTAAACAAATACAAAATCTTGTTCGTATTTGTTCATTTAATTAAACAAATACAAAATTTTGTTCATGTTCGTTTGTTCACGAACAGCTCTAGTCAGTTCCATTTACATAACATCCTCAAACCTCAACTCAAGTCTTCAAACACATCCTACATATCAAATAACATGTTAATGACTCCAACCAACTTTTAAACATGTCGGTTCTAATTTATGTATTAAATGCGGCGTCCACTCACTCTCTTCCTGTGCATGGATCCTTCCCTTCCCCCCAAATGTCCACTCCTTCCCCTACCTATGTCACCAACTTAGGTCTCGGCTTTCCCCTTCACCTCGTATTTTCTCTCCAATGCCACTGCCACTGTTACTACGTAGTACTAAATCGTGGTTACGGATGTTATAAACATTATAACATGGTTTTTTATAAAAAAATAATTATATTTTTATAGTGAGGATACAATTTAAAAAATATTATATTTTTTTAATGAGGATACAATTATAACATGGTTCTTTATCTTGGTTATGTGCCTTGTTTTAAATGTTAGTCGTTCATTGGGTTTTATAAGCTCACACTCGTTGATAACATTTTCAGAGGATTAAAGTCGAGTTTGGAGACGAGGAACTTGGTATCGGTGTGATCACAGTATACTTTGTGTGGCAATTTGGGGACGTTTGAGATTTATATCTATTATTCATTTTGTTGGACTTATAATGTTAGATTTTAGTTTGTAATAAGTGAATTTACGTTTGTAATTTGATGTTGTTTTGACTTGTTGACATTAGATTTACAAGTATGAACTTGTTGCTTGAAGCATGAGATTACTCAAATGTTGATTTTAGACCCTAAAGAAGTGTTTGGAGTGTTTAGTTAAGCGTAACTTGGTAAACTAAACGTGTTAGACTCTTAGGTTGCATGAAATGACTTTAAATGCCAAAAATGAGTAGGTGACTTGTGCTTAAAATGAACCTTTATACAATTGTTGACTTTTGGTGTCAAATCCTTGATTAATGTGTTGACTTGTGTTATAGAGCATGCTACACCTTTATTTTGACATGTATAAAGTGGTTGAATAGTGTCCAATCATATTCCTAGTCCATGATTACTTTTATGTGGGTGATTATTTGACTAAATATGCATGTTCATAGCAAATATGTAGTTTTCCAAAAAAAAAAAGGATTGATCCCTTTGGGGAAATGATCGATCCCAAATTTTCTGTTTTGCAAAGAATCGATCTCTTTTCAAAAGGATCGATCCCTTTCAAGAAATGATTGATCCCTTCATTATTTTGCTCGATGAAAAAAGGTGAAATTACATTCATTAAAGGTCTGAAGTATTCTTAAATTCTAATTTGACCCCTAAATGATTATATGAGTTCAAGTTAACCTAGGAATTGATTTGCTTAATTACTTAAACTCTTAAATTGAAATTTGATGAGATTTGAGTGATCACTTCTTTAACACACTTAATTACATAATGAAACCCTCATTTGCATGTTACTGTTTGTTACATAAGTTTTTCATATTTACATTTAAGTTTCTAATCTTATATGATCAATTGAGTGATTGTTTGATGTCCGATTGTTATAAAATTTTGCGTGTTGTTTCCTTATGACATTGTTTAACATTTAGTAACCTTGATTGGGATATTTGACTTGTTGATTTATTATGTGATGTGAAGTGATAGAAATATCCCTAAACGTTTAAATGTAATGTTTGCATGTTTAATTGAGATTCAATTGCATGTTAGTTACATTGAACGTTGTATGCGTTGAATAATAAGAGATTTTAATTTGTTTGCTTCCACGAAATGTGTGTAATGTAGATCCTGATATGTCTAACATTGAAACTTAATGTACGCTCAGGTATCCGGTTCGAACTCTTGAACTGGATATGGGGAGTTACAAATTACATCATCTGATAAACTCTAATGTTTTAGTATTAGTACTATCTGATGATGTGCGGTGAAAGGTCGAGAATTCTGAATCTGAGACATATGAAGTAGGCGCTGCAGCATTGGGACTTGTTCCACTAAGGTCTTAAGCTGGATCTACTAGCATCTTCTGCTGATTCCCTCTTTTCTCTTTCTTCGCTTTCCTTGAGCAGAAAATCAACCCACTGATCTGCAATAGACTGAGCACAAAAAGATGGTTGAGACTCTTGGATTTTCCAAGTGTTGTTAACTAAAAAAGATTATTTGTTCAAAGAAAGACCTGGTTATCGGGGCCTATATTTGCATGTACATCAGCCGAACTTGCACCAAAAATGCCACCAACCAAACGACCAGGTAGACTCAAAACACCCCGAACAACACCTTTTCCAGCATCATGTTGAGCAACACCTATCCTCTGCTTGTCTTCATCCGAGAACCCAAGCATCCGAACCATAAGATCCAAAACCTATAATTTATATCAATGTAAGCCGCAGAAGTAAGAATCTATTGTAACCCACAAGCAATCATTTTCCAGCATTAGGACCAAGGATTTTGAGCAGGGAAATTTGGTTTTCTAGTTCTGTTACAAAATTACTTGAACCATTATACCTCTTTGCTGTGGTTTCTCTGGAAGAAGGTCACGAGTAGTTTGATCACAATACGCCTGCAAAAAGAATTACTAATTGTTCAGACAACATAAAAAAAAAACAAAATGAATCATAGCAGTTTCAAACTCAAAAAATAGAGGAAAAAGTTATGCTCTAATCGTACGGAAACACATTATATAAGATAAAATAATAATTGAATGATATTTAGTCAGATACATTCAGTTCTGACATGTAGAAAGTGTAACCTGTCAACAAGATGATCAGAGTCCACAGACATTGTGTTAAGCCTTGTCCCGCTCTGCTCGAGAGCACGCCTTAGTTTTCCATTATCTTCCTCAAGCTTTTTAACTCTGGTTTGCCCTTCTGCAACCATTCTTTCGGTTTGCGAAAGCTTTGCTAGAATTTCTTCCTTTTCCTTGTTTGACAATTCTGCACGTTCATCTGCATCCTGGAGAATGCATAGATAATCACAAGTCCCATTCTCTTTTACCGAATCCATTTTTGTAGAGAAGTAATTAACAATTAAAGGAGGGCAGACAATACTTTCAGAAGACCTGTAAGTCTAGCTGACTCTTGTGTTGCCAGACCCAAATCTCGCTCCAAATGTTCCTGTAACACAATAATAAAAGCATTAAGAATCAAGTTCTATTCATTCACCCACTGATCTTGACAAAGATTATGCACGGACAGTACCAAAAGAATTCTTACCTTAGCTTCAATTTCAGCATAGTACTGGCCAAGGGCAGTTTCAAGATTCAGTATCTCAGCATTTTTTGTAAGTATGGCTCTGGCACAGCCATCAAGTTGCTTATTCTTTTTATCAATAATTTCCTTTGACTTCTGAATTTCATTGGTGTTCATCAGCTTAAGTTCCTCCAAATGTGCAATATGAGCTCTTTGATATTCATTGCTTTCACGAAGTTGCTCTATTATTTTTCTATCTTCATCCATTTTTACTGATTCTTCAGAATCCTAGAGAATATTGCAGCAAAAGAAACCATCCTCAATTGCCGTTATTCAACTAAAACTATCACAAAATATAGCATCAAGAAAGGAGTTAAAAAAACCAAGACTAGAGTCTTTAACATACAAGAATCAGATGGCCAAAATCAAGACTAGAATATTTAACATAGAAGAATCAGTTGTCAAGAATTCTTCTTTTCTTGAAAAGCAGCGTATATGTTCTATGATATACCCTTTGGGAAAGGCCATAATACATAAGCAACTTGAAGATGTATAAGGCAAAATTTTCACCAGAAATTCCATAAAATGTTAAGGGACCTGCAACCTTTTCTAACAAATGCTGCTTCAGACGAGTCAATTCTTGAAAAGCTGTGTCCCTTTCACGGCGTGTTTCTCTCAAATCTTTCTCCAATTTCTGCAGCGATAGCTCCATTTCTTTCTTTCCGGGAAAACTTCCTGATGAATCCACCTTCTGCTACAGATATATTTATGTTAACAAGTGGTATTATTATGAGATATTATACTTTTTCATTAACGGTATTTATAGATGGAATAAATATTTCAGCACCAAAATAGATTTATATTTTTAATAATTTAATATAATGTATATAAAATTAAAATCAGATCAAAGAATGTTTTTTTTATAAATAGGTCAAAGAATATTGAATGTATGAATATGCCATATTTCATGTATTGTATCAAGTACCAACCACAATATCAAAGTAAACTTAATCAAACCAAAATAAATATTTTTTTCTTAAGCTAAGGTGATTACATAGTGGTATTTATTCTAAATACTCTCAATCATTTGACAATAACTGTTCAATCACTCTGTTGCAGCTGCTGATGCTCGAACTATGACCTTTAAGAATAATAATGATTCATTTAACCACTGAGATAAGTTGGTTCGTGTCAAAATATTATAATTCAACCAGAAACACATATGAAGATATATTATAATTCAATCATTCATGCATTATACTATTTATTTTATGGTTTATTACTGATAATATATTTTCGCGTATGTCTCTACAATTACAATAACAACAAAAATTAAAGTTTGCGAGTGATTATTTGGAGCATCTAATTTCCAAATGCACAATGTCGGTAAGAGGTTAATACGATAGTTTAGTTTACAGGAATATTCAGGGTGTACAATGTCACAAACATAATATTTTGGCTTTATTGTTTTGTCATGTAACACTCAAATGAGACTCATCCCAGATATGTCAGTCTTTGCCTCAATGACCCTTTTCTTATTTTACCCCATCACAAAGTCATGCCACTTTACTCAAGAGTCATTCCTTCGGATCATTAGCTAATCTCATATCAACATGCCCACACATACAATAAATCTAAAAGCCACATGTACTATTGGAAGAGAGATCTAGTGGGGTATAGCTAAAGCTATGTTGCAACCCCACTCCACAATCAAGTGCGCGTAATATTGGACTCACAAGCCCTAAACTGTCTATAGATATAATTGATAACTCCATAAAAAGGATATATTTAGGGCATTTTCACTTAAATTATTAGTTGTTTTAAAGAACATTTAGGATCATATAACTACATTTGGTGGATTCCATTTGTCGTGGTATTTTACTTTGCAACTGATGTTGCTTGATGAGAAAGGTTATATCTGGTTGATGGGGGTTCATGAAGCCAAAGGTGAGCAAGGGAAATTACCGTGGCAATTTGGGTTGATGAAGCATGAGGAAAATGTCTCGACAATTAGGATGATATTCTGGGCGCAGAAAAAGGTAAAAAAGAGCTGAAGATATTTTTATAAAAGAGCCAGTTATCCAACCCACACGTGATTCTTGTTTCCTGCCACCTAGGAGGGGACCGCTGTCACTTTTTATACTCCATTTTCACATGAGAAGATGTTACCTATGGTACTAAGGGAATTTTAGCACAAAACCATATGACATTTTCTTAATATAAATAAAAAAATGATGCCACAAAAATGGAGAGATGATTCTTTTGGGAAATAGTAAGAGAGGAAAAAGTAAAAGGGCAACTACAAGCTTCCATCTTTTTCTTCCCTTTTTCATCTTTTTAGTGGTGTCCTCCATTTCCAAGCTCAAGGGAGTGGTGAGCTAGGCATTCGAGAGAAGTTAGCGTCGCCAAGGTGCTTCTTGGTGGCCGAGAGAGCTCCCGACAGCGCACATTGTGAGTTTTTCCTCTACCTTTGTGCTTTATTTTCCTTTGTATTTTGTGGGTTGTTATGGAACGAATGATATTTTTTTTGATGATTTAAACCCCACCATGAACTAAACCTTATTTGGTGTGGGTCTTTTATGGATGATTAAGTGTTTGTTTTAATGAATGATTTAAGTTTTTATGGTTTTTATTTTCTTTACTCATTGTATTTAATTACTTAAGATTGTAAGAGTTATGAGAGTAGTCGTTTCTTAGGTTCACTACTTAGTGTTCAAGAGAAAATAAGTGGTTCGATGCTTAGTGTTTGAGAGAAACTAGGTTAGGATCAACGTGAGCAATGAGTTTTAGATGTTAACTAAGACCTAATTCACTTTAGAGATAAGGATGAGATTTCAACGAATAAAAGGAGTAGAACTTAATCGATAGGTTTTATGCTATTGTTCACGCTGAGAGGTATTGTTGTGGCATTTTCATCTGTCAGGTTCCTTGACTGGAGATAGCATAGAGCCATTCTTAGTAAAATCTGTCGAGCAAGTAAGCCATAGAATTTTGGAGCATTATAGAAAACAAAGCTTAGGATTCCTTAATGACCCCATCAATCATTCCCATTGCAGCTTGTTTGTGTGAGGATTGCCAAGTTATTTCTTTTAATATCATATTCTTAATTATTTTTGTTTTAACATTTTCAATTGATTACATTTCATACATCTCAGTTTTCCAAAACATTTCCACCTGCTACATTTCCACACCTCCATTGAAATCTCATCTGAACACATTTCCTCCAATTCATGTGGAGATAATATTCACTCACTCTATATTACTTGTTCGATTGTGTATATTTGCACACATATTTTAGCGTAATTTATAAGTACACAAAACGTACAATAAGTTTTTGGTGACGTTGCTAGGGATTGGCAACTGGAAGTTTAACGATTTTATTATAGCATTTTTATTTTACTTCTTTATTTTTGTATAGTTTTAATTTTTATTTCTTTTATCCTTTTTAGGTTTTGTTGGTGTATGACCATAGGACATCCCAAAAGCCTACTACCGATTGATCTTGAGATAGACAATCTTTCAGACAAATGAGACGTGCTCAACGTGCTCAAAGAAACATGTAATGCCCTGAGTTACGGGTTAGGAGTTTTAGGTTTATTAGTTCAGGCATTAGAATAATTTCCCCTAACCTATGAAGCTTTTGAACTAAGTGGTTTTTGATTTGGACTTGGGATGAGCCCAACAAACTTTATTTTGGATGATTTTAACCTTAGCTCAAATGTGGGAGGACCAGGAGGGTAGTTTACCCATTTTTTTAATCAAGCTAAATCTCATTAAATATGATGATCTCACGTTCTGAATTCTCCTTCTCTTTTTCATAATCAACCTTGTCTTTTCTTCCTCTTAAATTTTTGTTCCTCTTCATTCAAGAGCTAAGTAAAAGTTGGGAACTTTAAGTTATTCCAGAATTCTATTAAAATTTCAAGTGTAATAGCAAAGGGAGACATCCAAGGCTAGAGGCAAGGAATTACCCTTGGGTGATTCAAGGGTGTTTTCAGTCACCTAAGCTCAAGGTAACATGATCCTGACTTGTCCACACCATATGTAGTTCATTTTATATGCATTATGGTTTGTTTAGTTCATGAAACATGCTAGAGTAATTTCCATGATAAGATTCATATTTGTGTGTTGCAATCATAAAAATTAGTACATTTTGACCTCTAAGACACTAAATAATACGGTAAACATATTTGTTAGTCTTAGGGGAATTGTTGGGTGTTTCCTGAGCTTAAGTAAGTTATTCCCAAAAAAAGGATTGATCACTTGACCAAAAGGATCGATCCCAAACTTTTTATTGTGCAAAGGAGTGATCCCTCTTGGAAAATGATCGATCCCTTCGCTGTTTTACTTGATGGAAAATGGTGAAATTGCATTCATTAATGGTCAGAAGTGTTAAGGAATATTGTCTTGACCTTAGCATGTTTGAATGAGTTCAGTTTGGTCCATTAATTGATTTTTTTCAATACTTAAACCCTTAATCTGGATATCATCGATAATGAACAACTCGACTAATAACGTTATGAAATAAAGTAACATCAAACTAGCCTTTGTTGATACTTGGGAAAGGGCTAGGACACCCGAGTTACTCTAGAATTATGATGTTTGTATGTTATGTTATGTTATGTTATGCTATGCTATGCTATGCTATGCTATGCTATGCTATGTTATGCTATGCTATGCTATGCTATGCTATGTTATGCTATGTTATGTTATATTATGTTATATATGTTGATATCTAAATATCTTTTGTTTGTGTATGCATCCGATGCAGTAAATTTTGGGTTGTATCGATACGAATTTCGATGCACATAAATTCCAGAATTGTACCTTATGCTCGATTAGGTACGTGATATGAGCTTCCGATGCACGTAAATTCTGGACCTCCCTCGACCTCTCGAGGATCCGAAGTAGACTAAAGGCTTTAAGTTTTGATGCGCGTAAATTATGGTTCTTACCCAAAAGCTATCACGTTCTATATAGGCTAGTGTGTTGTCCGAGATGCACGAAATTCCTCTAACCACATTACTTGGCCTATCTCATGTTTGATATGTACTTATGCATGTTTATGACTCTGTATACCAACATGTTCATGTAGTGAATGCATGTAGTATCATTTAGTTATTTTCGTGGCACTAATCTTGTGAGCTCATCTTATGGAATATGTTTCCGTACGCAGGTTAGTATAGGGGATTGCTGAGGAGGCTTTCACATTCGTACATTCTCGACCAGAAGATTAGCATAGTATGACTTGAATTTATTTTAGAGGGCGTGTATTCAATATAGACTTTATATAATCATGTAATAACTATATTTTGGATTTTTAAACTCTATGGTTATGTTGCATGTATTTTGGAGGACTCCTATATTTTGTAAATGTTGGATTTGATTTTTTTGCAAGTGTGATTTATTATGATATTAACAATTATTTTTAAAAAAATTGATTGACCATTTCGATGGTTCTATATGGCAACGTAATTAATAGACCTTCATGTCGCACTGGATTAGGGTGTTACAAAATATGTATAGATTGTAAAACCAAGGTGGAGACCAAGCAGAGTATCTTACAGATCCAAATGCCGCAACAATTCCAAATGTTGGGAATGTTGCTCGGTCGCGTGCTATTCTATATCACTTAGTCCTATATTGGACGATTTAAACCCTGGTATTGTAGTACTAGAAATTTAGGCAGCCAACTTCAAGCTCAAACTAGTC